TTTTTTTCACTTATCGCGAGGCTTCAGGGTATGGATCCCCCGCGATAAATGAGGGACTACTGTAGTTTATTGTGTTTGTTAAATCCCAAAACATATGCACCTCCAGGCCATTGTTACTATGTGTATACAACCTCATCTCAGCTTGGTTGCTCCCAAAGCTGTACTGTTACACATTCAGCACAGTGGGGCATCGTCTGCATACAGTCTGATCGTCAGCTACATGTTGTCCTGTTTAACCTGATCAAGTTCTCTTATTAACTTTTTGCCAGTTTCTGAGAGCCTGATGGCAGACAAGTTTGATGAATATGGCTACACATTCATCGCACCGAGGTAGGTTCACATATACTGTAGTTTGGTTCTATCACTAGTATTAAAACATGACAGTTTTGACCCAACTATAAATCTGATTTTGTTTCCAACAGGATGTACTGTAAAGACTTAAAGCTGCCTGATAAAAAATCCAACAACACAGAGTTTCTAAAGCAATTTAATGATTATATTGACACAAAGACTCCAAACAACGACATGTGTAAGTATAATATGTTTTTTTTTTGTTTTGTTTCCTTACATATGACCTGTTCCTTTGCTTTGAGCATGTCTTTTAAAAAGCTTCACAGTATTTACTTTAGCAGTTTTATGTGAAGAAATCCCAGCCATCTGGCTTTAAGCATTGGGGTGTGCGTTGAACACTTAATAGAAGCGTGCCAACCTGTTCCCAAAGGTCGCTCTGTCCAGTGAAATACAGGTCTGGTTGGATGGTTTGATGTGCATGAGCAGGCAAAGCTTTGTAATGTGGAACCCCTGTGTTCGTGTTCCCCATTTGATGCTAACTCCAAAGCTCTGACCATCACACGCCTGGCTGCACATGTGTGAAGCACGTCGACTTAGATGTGACACACACACACATACACTGTTCACCGGTAATATGCCTTCCACACCCCTTTTGTAGCCGCTTGACCCCGTCCAATTACTGTGTGTTTGTGAAAAAGAGCAGGACACGTCCACCCGTGAGCGTAAGCTGAGCAATAAAGCAAATCAGGGGCCAAGTGGACTTTCTCCCTGACATCTGACCAATGCATTAACATCTTTACCATTCCTAGCATTGATATGAATAACTCATTTTTCGTGTGTGGGGGTGTATTGAGCAAACAGTCCCAAGACATGTATTAAAGGGTCCTTTTATTGCGTTCCATTGTTTTAATTTGATGGTTTGCATTTAAGGACTTGCTTCAAACATCTCAACACGATCAGTCCAATAAAACTTTTCACCCGGTTGAAATATTACTTTCACTGTTATTAGCTGCTAGTTTAATGGAGTCCACAGAGAACCAGGCAGGGGGGAGAGGGGCAAGAGTATTTGTAGCCCAAGTGTTGTTACATGCTTTACGTTGTGAAGCCACTGCAGTGGCGAAGAAGTACATTAGGAATTCCTGGGCTGCCTTCAATAAAGGATCCTTAATAAAAACCACAACACAGGGTTGGATGGTGCGGTTGGAGAAAACTAAAGTGATGCACCAGCTGTTTTTGTCTGATGTGTGTGGTGTGTCATAAAGATTGGAGGAGGTGGTGGCAGCGTATCAACAAACCTCAACGTTTATGGACTGAAACAAGTCGGAGGGTTCAAAGATATGGGCATGGCCAGAAAGGGGGCAGCAGCTTTTTTTTCGCCTGTTATGTTTGTCATGTGTCCGATGCCTGTGAACGTATTTTTTACACACCTGCACCACATCACCTTGTGCACCACAATGTTGGAACGGAGAGTAAAAATCTTGTTTTAAGACTTGTCATAATTTTTTTCTTACTTTTGATCAAAAGTTGTACCAGCACGCATTATGGTATAGTCTCCATCTTTACCTCTGTAAACTTTTTCTTGTCCCACCCATAACTTCTGAGCTAATCAAGATAATTTAACAAACTTGATACACGTATGAATCATCTTTAGATCATGTCACATACACTTTTTTAAATAACCCAGCTCCAAGATCAAGGTCAGAAATCAAGGTCAAATGTTATACAAGGTCTTTGCTTGTACCATCCATAACTTTTGATCCGCTAAAGATAATTTAATGAAACTTAATACACATTTATACCACCACTAGACAGTGTGTCACATAATCTTTTCATCAACTTGTTCTAGAGTCAAGGTCATATTTAAAGGTCAAAGGTCATACAAGGTATTTGCTTGTCCAGGCCATTGCTATAGATTGTTGTGTTCCTCTTATTCTTTCTACGTTTCCCTCTTCAGGGGTCGCCACAGTGAGTCATCCTCCTCCATCTCACTCTGTCCTCTGCATCCTCTGTCCTCTCTCCATCTACCTCCATGTCCTCTCAACTGCATCCATATATCTCCTCTTTGTTTATTTCCTGGCAGCTGCATTTCTAACATCCTTCTACCAATATACCCACTGTCCCTCCTCTGGACATGTCCAAAACATCTCAGTTGTGGCCTCTCTAACTTTATCTCCCAGTTGTTCAACCTGTGCTGTACCTCTGATGATCTCATTCCTAATCATATCCATCCTTGTCACTCCTAAGTAAAACCTCAACATCTTAATTTCTGCCACTTCCAGTTCTTTCTCCTGTCATTTTGTCAATGCCACTGTCTCCAGACCATACAACATAGCTGGTCTCACCACTGTCTTGTAAACATTTCCTTTGACATTTGCTGACATCCTATTGTTGCAAATCACTCTTGAAAATTTTCTCCATCCACTCCATCCTGCCTGGACTCTCATTTTCACCTCTATACCACACTCCCCATTTTCATGGACAGTGGACCTCAAGTACTTGAAGTCCTGCACCTTTGTGACCTCTGCTCCTTGTAGCCTCACTGTTCTACCGGCCTCCCTCTCATTTACACACGTGTGTGTTATGTTGTTTATTTGTCATATGCAGGTTAACACAGGGTCAACAATGCAATGAAATGTTCAGGATGAGAAGAACCGATTCGACTTGCTAAAAACAAAAACAAACAAGAAATACTAAAGCATGCAATAAGGGTACAAAATAAAGTACCAAAAGTGAAAAAGAAATACATTTACAAGGTCTAAAATAAATATAGTAAACAAAAACATAATAGAATACATATAACAATGAAAGTAGGATTAATTTGTATGAATAAATATTTCACAGGTAGTAATATAAGCTTAAATGCATATGATGTATATTGCACATAACTATGATGTATATTGCACATTAACATATACTAAACAGGTTGTGTAACAGGTTATTGCACAGGTAATGTGTGACATTGAGATTAATTGAATTGAATATATGGTAAACTAGTGACATACATAATATAGGCATATGTGACATATGATATATGGCATATATGGCATGATACATGACATACATGACATACAGCCACATAGTGCAGCAGCAATAAACATATTAGGTGTCACAGATGTGGCTTAGTGCAATGTTATTATCAAGAGTTCAGTAATTTGACATCTTGTGGGTAGTAGCTGTTTTTGAGTTTTTTTATATTCTCTGTCTTATTATAGCAGACTTTCATTCCTCTACTTTCAAGTGCATAGCTGTGTTGCTTTATATTTTGTTGACAGGTGTATAATGTGCCATATGCTGCACTCTTGTTAAGCTTTGAAACACTTTGACTGTGACTTTTTAATTTCGTTTGCCATAAATAGAATATATATATATATATATATATATATTTTATTTTTTTTTATTTTTTTTTACATTGAGTTGTGATAATTGTTTTCTATATTTTCGGTCTTGCAGGCCTCACATTTCTTAAAAGAATCCATATAGTCCACAACCTTTTATGAAGGCCATTTTTAATCAAGTTGGCTGCAAAAGTTATTCAGTTGTAGATGCACACTCCTTGATTAATTTGGGTTCCATTAAATTATCTTAAACTGTTCGTGGGACATTTTCCTACTGCTACAGATAAACTAACACATACAGACAAATGCATAACCATTATCCCTGCTTCACTTTCAACAACAGATAGCAACAACTTGTAAAGAAACAACTGTAAAGTTTTTATTTGAACACTATTAAATCACTTTTGAATTATTCAGCAGAACCAGTTGCTTTTGAACAAAGTAACTGAACAAGACTTGCATCGTGTTTTGCTTCCTAGGTAATGTGGAGCTGGTGAACAGACTCCTTTTGGACGCTGGTATTACCTCAGATCTGATCAAGATCTGGAAGAAAACCGAGTCACAGTAAGTGAAGCAGCTATGTTTGGTGTTTGGCAGGACAGAAAATCCAAATATTTCAACATCGCCAGTAAATGTCACGAAGCACATTCCAAATTTTTGTTACTGTGTGATTTATAGCGTTATTTTTTCAGGCGCGGAGTTGCAGCCAGATTTGTCGCCACTGATGGAGGAATCACGCGTGTCTTTCCTGAAAGGTATATATATCAAATAATGTTGGGGGCTTAAAAATTAAATAAGAGCTTAAATAAGAGCTGTTCAGTCTGATGAGAACAGCAGATTGATGTCCTTGTTGTTGTTGTTGTTGTTGTTGTTGTTGTTGTTGTTGTTGTTGTTGT